AACCCCCATTTCCACCCAAAATCACCTCAGAGTGGAGCTTTTGGCTAAAACCTCTCAAAAAGGTCAAAGTGGCACATTGTTTGGCATCAATCTGATACAGGAGTACTTATTAAAGGTTGTACTTGGATCCTAAAAGCTTTAGCGTACCTTATCATCCTCATCCAAGGGTAGTTCATATAAGTAAAATAATCTTTGACGGACACTATAATTACAGTGTTGTTACTACATGTTCAATCTGAATTTTCTTTAAAATAAAAAACATACTATATTGTTCTGACCTTTACATCCCACTCACAGGTTTATCATTATTTGAAGGAAAAATATTACTCAATTTAACCCTTTTAGAAGGAGAAGATAATGGCGCGCATTTTGTTCCCGGGAANGTTTTTTTAGACTCGTGAGGAACTGGGGTAGTATCTATCTATAGCAGGGTACCAAATTGTCTCGCGGGCCGTATACGGCCCGGAGGCCGGAGGTTCCCCGACCCTGCTATAGATAGATACTACCCCAGTTCCTCACGAGTCTAAAAAAACAACTCACGTCAACGCACGTAAGCAACGTGGGCGCCAACGTGAGTGCTCTCGTGACCAAAATATTTGACGGCGCTGATTGGCTGAAATTATGATTCGGCGGCACAGTTTACTATTGAGACTTTTGCAACATACTGGTTGAGGCTGTTTGGCTCGGGGGCAGCCCCCCGTAATGATAAACTAATGCCAAGGGCAAGGCCAGGCAGGAAACATGTGACTTATCAGTAACTTTAGACATCGTAACACAATTTTAAACAAGATTTTATTGTAGATTATACATTTTACTGATACCAATTGTATGATATTTACCTTGTTCATTAAAAATAAAAAATATAAAATATATATATTTCAAAAATATATATTTTTTTAAATATATATATATTTTTTTAATATTTTTTTTGTATGTGGGAAGAGGTGGGGAAGCGCCCCTAGCGCATGGGCCGGCCGCCACTGGTAACATCACTAATAGTAACGTTACTGGCAGGACTGTTGATACTGATCCATAACCGAAACGAATGCGCAAGTATCAGCGAACCCCCCTTCGCTCCTCTCTCCCTCCCCTCCGGTACCCAGCACCGTAAGACGTAGTGTTGAGTTGCATTAGGTAACGCGAGATACGGCTGATACTTGCGCATTAGTTTCTGTTATGGATCAGTATCAACAGTGATGTGATGTGACCGACGTAG